GTAGTACACAGTCATTGAAAATGTGAGGTGATCAGAATTCTCTAAGAAATCTCTGCAGACCCTTGGAATTTGTAACCAATTCTATTGGAAGTATTTTTTTATTTGAATATTTTCTCAATTTTTATTTTTTTTAGGTATAATCACCATAATGCATAAAAAAGAGGGATCGACTAAAGTCTGTATTGTACATTTAAAGCTACACTATAGGCACCCAGACCACTTCAGCTCATTGAAGTGGTCTGGGTGCAATGTCCATGTCCCGTTAACTCTGCAAAGGTAATTATTGCAGTTATTTATAAACTGCAATAATTACATTGTAGGGTTAACTCCACCTCTAGTGGCACAGCCACTAGAGGCACTTCCTGGTGGTTAGGCAAATTTCGGTCCGCTAAATGACGGTGGACATCATCACACTTTGCATGAGCAACATTCAGTGTCAACGAAAACCCCCCAAAAAAGCATTGATTCAATGCTTTCCTATGGCTTAGTCCTATTACGAGTGTGGAGCTTGCCAGCTGACGTCGACAGAGGGTGGCACTATAGGGTACTATAGTGCTAGGAATACAATAGTTTCCCTTTAAAAACTTCTAGTATTCTATGTGCCCTAATTTCCTCTTACAGTTTAATGGTATCTTGATGCACTGATCAATTAATTACACATGATTACCTTGGTCCTTAGATAAATGGTGTATATGTGGGGAGGGCTGCACATCACAATGAGCACATTATTTTTCAGGCATGTCTGGTGACAAAATAGTTATACAGCTCTTGTCGTTTGCAGGGATTTAGTTTTAGTTAGTTTTCACCAAATTAAAATAACGTGACAATTACATTTAAAATCTGTGAACAGTCAGAACCCAGACTAACAGATCCCTAAGTGTCTCATCAAGACAGTAGGACACCCAGGGGAAGGTTATTACGGTAGTAAGCTAACAGCGACTAATTGTGAACAATATCACATTCAGCACGTATTTAAAACACATGGCAAAGTACTTTAGGGAATGCACAAACTTCATCTGTTCAGACGATTGCAGATGCGTCTCAGATACCAAAATGTAATTTTTACCAGGAATGCTAATTTTAATTATGCTTGGAAATAGAATATTTTACTTGCTCAGCTGCCCACGAAAATATGTGGTCAAAACCTTGTACAGTGTGAGCTGTAATATGACTGTAATATAATCTGGTAAAGCAATAAAATGTGTTCCTTATTAAACTGGCTGATTAAAAGTATATTTACCCTGGTAAGTAGATGCTAAAATGAGGTTAAAACATTCTGTTAAAAATATGTGGCTTAATTTACCTTTAAAAATGAGATCTAGCCCCATGTAATTGATTATAGATCACCTCTTTACCAACACATGGATATTTTCTTTTCTTTACTGCATTAGGTAAAGTGTATGCGCAAAGCAGGTAGAGAAAAACAAAAAGGAATGGCTGCACAGCAAATGTGTGGACGGGGACACTGTGGGGCAAGGTTTAACAGGACCAACTAGCAAGAGTGGGCAAAAGTGAATGGTGCACAAGAGGGGGGACAGATGTATACCAAACCAAAGGGACCTGCTCAGGAATCCAGGTGAATTGAACCAACAGATGGTAGAAAATAGGGGAGCTACAAGAAAGAAGCTGGTACCGGAACCACAGGCTATAGTGGGCTGAAACATATAATCTACCTGTCAGAACCCCAACCTGTAGTGGATTAAATAAACACAACCAATAATAGAGTTTAGTAGAATTCACAAGTATATAAAAGTTTGTGACAGAAACACCATGTCCTCTAGTGCCACAGTACCAAGTATAGCCACTCAGCTTCCTCATCACCAATCAAATTTCAAACTCAAATGGCCTGGGGTCACTGGGGCAAGGTGTCTTCTCCCGTGGTTAATGCAGATACGTACTTGCAGGCACACACACAGATCTATATTTGCAAAAGCACACATATACACACAGCACCATACTCCCATGTTTAAAAAATATATTCATACCTGCAAATATATACGCGCAAATACAGCACTAGCCCAGTTCCTGTAACATCTCCAAACCTGTACCATTAACATCAATAGTACAGTAATAAACATTATCATTTGCTTAAGTAAACACACTGTTCTCAGGGCCGGTGCAAGAATTTGGGCTACAAAGGCAAAGATGCATTTTGCTCCCTACCCGCCCCCAAATGCATTTTCACTTGTGTGCCCCTTAATCCCCCTTTTGTGTTTCTTATCCTCTCTTTTGAATGGCTTACCTCTTGTAGTATATCTTATCCCCCCATTTTTCCCTTTGTGTGTTTCTTACTCCTCTCCTTTGTGTTTGTTTTACTTCTCTCCAGCTTTTTTGTGTCTTTTACTCCCCTCCAGCCCCTTTCTCTCTCTTTGTACCTTAGCCCCTTTGTGTGTTTCTTTCTAACCCAGACCCTTTGTGTGTCTCTTTCTAACTCAGATAATTAGTGTCTCTTTCTACCTTGATCCCTTTATGTGTCTCTTTCTACTTCAGCCCCCTTCTCTTTGTCTCTTTCTACCCCAGTCCCTTTCTGTTTCTGTTTCTCCCCTTCCCCAGCCTTTCTGTGTGTGTCTTCCCCTCCTTCCCCGTTACACAGCCGTGTTCAGCTGTTTGTGAATTGTCCTGAACTGCTGGCTGAGTGTGTGAGCAGCCACGGCTGAGCAAGCGCAAGCCTGCTTTATTCACAAGGCCCTTTTGTGTATTTCTTTCTCCCCTTCCCCACCCCTCTGTCATTCCCCCCACAGCCCCTTCTGTATCTCTTTCTCCCTATCACCTCTTTATCCCCCAGGCCACTCTGTGTCTCTCTTCCCCAGCACCTTGTCTTTTTCTCCCCACTGCCCCTCTGTGTCTCTTTGTTCCCCGTAGCCTATCTGTGTGTCTCGCCCCAACCCATGTCTGTCTCTTTTACTCCTGCCACAGCCCCTGACTGTCTATTGCCCATTACCCAGACCCTCTGTGTATATGTCCACCCCAGCCCCTCTGTGTCTCTTTCTCTACCTAGCCCATTTTTTGTCTCTTTCTCCACCAGCCCCTCCATGTGTCTTCTTCCCCCAGTCTCTCAAATGCGTCTAATTTTCAAAAACTGTAATAATCAAATTGCGTCAGTCAAACAGCTGCCAGAGGCATTTTCTTGATCTTAACGGACTTTTGGTCATCTAAGTGACGCTGGACATCTACACACTCTGCATCAGTAAAATCCTAGTAGGAAAGCATCAAATCGGAAGACATCTGAAGAGGCGGAGCGCCTATCCAGCGCCAAGGAACATCGGCGCTGGATTCAGGTAAGTGATTAGATGATTTATTTATTTTTAACCATTTATGAGCCGGGGGAGGTGCGAGGGAGGGGATGACCAGTGGGCAGTATAGTGTTAGGAATACAGTTTTGTATTCCTAACACAATTGAATCTCTTTAAAAACCCAAGATTCCATCAGCTGGCCTATACATGTAGTACTGATTATTTTCCTTTTTGTATTTTTTTATTATTAAAGCTGAAAGAACTTCTTCGGTCACTAACTTTTTATTTTTAGACTTGGTCATGGGGAAGTATATAAAGATTCAAGTCAGTGCTTCCAAATTCTTAATTATGGGAAAAACAGAGCAATGGTGAACAGGCAAAGATCTGTTTGTCAAGATTGGCTGTGACTATGTCATGATGTATGTCCATATTTTTTATTTTCATTCTTGCTTACGAGACATCTTCAATTAATAAAAAAAAAAAAAAAAACTTGCATCTCAGTCCTCAGTGGGAAAATTGTGAAAGAATGTTAGTGAATCTGGGAAAAAATGTATTCCCCCCCAAATTGAAAAACATTTCTGTATATTTTAATTAATTCAATACATACACCCATGACCTAATCCACCCTAACTAAGTGGAAGGCTCACAGACACTGGAGAGATTTGCCGGTTACTGCTTGAGAAATATTCAATAATTTATTATATCAGTGTTCCATTTTGTTCCACTATATGATCACTTGGTAAAGTTCTGAACCTGTCAATACAGTTTTGAAGGTACGATCCTAGCTCCTGGGAAGCCATTCATGTAATGCATTATATAGATATTATTTTCCTAAACCTGCTATAGTTACAAGTTGCAGCAGGCAGTTTCCTCTTACATTCATTCAGTTCTATAAAGTTTGATCTTGTCCAGCAGAAGTCTTTGGGATATGTAGTTCAGCAACCAGCAGTAGTTCCATTCTTCGGATCTCACATAGCTGCTGCTATTACACAGCCGTGTTCAGTTGTTTGTGAATTGTCCTGTGCACAGCGTTCTCCTGGATTGCTGGCTGAGTGTGCAAACAGCCACGGCTGCGCAAACGCATGCCTGCTCTATGCTCAACTGCGATGGATTTCGAATACACAGGAGAAAGTGAAACTTACTCTTCTGGGTATGAAGGAATAGAGCTAGTCTTGTCAACCGATATTAGCCTCAGTGCGCAAAGGCACAATGACACAGTACCTCTTTGCACTGTACTATGTGCGATGAACCCAGGTTGTTAAGGTGTTTACAGCATCCCTCAAGGATCTGTCAACCTTTCAGGCTTAGTCAATTCAGAGGTTCTTTGACACTAGTCTTTATGGTGATTTGCCGTGGCCTCACAAAGAATAAGGGGATGCACACAGACAAAGTTGAAGGACAAGCCAAATGAGGGAGTTGAAGCTTAGCCCATGGTATTGTGATTCAGGGTTGACTGTTTATATGTTACTGAGATATCACTGGCAAAGGTCAGGGATGCAGAAATGTAGGTGGAAGGAAGGCAAGATATATAACACTTAGCTGCCTGTACAAAAGTACCTTAATGGCCTACTTTGCTTGAACATACCCAGGAAACGTGGATTTACTATCAGCATACAGGCTCTGTGCTGGGTCACACTACTTTGCTATGACAAGAACATACTGTAGAATCATCATCTCAAATTTCTTAATATGTGTTTTGCATGCAGATAAATACAATAGAATATTCCAATCACTGTACAGTACAATGTACATACAAGGACAACGAAACAGCTGGCCTCTGATCAGAAATGCAGCAGTAATTCATAAAATATAATTGCTGCTGCATTTCTGATCAGAGGCCAGCTGTTTTTCATTGACATTGTGTTAACACGTGCCTGAATGCTCCAGACCAGCAAACTGCTAAAACTTCGGCTTTTATAGAGGTGGTTCAACTTGCTGATGATCAATTAAAGGTGCACTAAAGTGTCAGGAAAACAAACCCGTTTTCCTGGCACCATTAGGTCCCTCCACCCTCAGGGCCCTCCTCCCGCTGGGCTGAAGGGGTTAAAACCCCTTCAGCCACTTACTTTTCTCCAGCGCTTGGCTCCCTCTGTGCTGGGGAACCTCTCCACCCCCTGCCGACGTCAGATTCAAACCGCCCTTAGGAAAACATAACTCAATGCTTTCCTATGGACATTCGGCGTCTTCTCACAGTTAAAATCGCGGAAGCTGCCTCTGGCGGCTGTCAATGAGACAGCCACTAGAGGCTGGATTAACCCTAATGTAAACATAACAGTTTCTCTGAAACTGCTATGTTGTCAGCTGCAGGGTTAAAACTAGAGGGACCTGGCACCCAGACTGTCACGATAGTGACCCCTTCACGCAGAGCGTAACCTAAAAGGAGACGTATACCGGTCCTTAGAGTGGCCGGGCTTAACGTCTGAGAATAGTCAAAAGGATAGCCAAAGGTCAAAGGAGCACAGAAGACGGAATACACGAGAATACCAAGCCAAAATTCGGGAAACCAGAGAGGAGAATAGTCAGAGAGGAAGCCAAGGGTCAAAATTACCAGGAATACAAACAAGAGGAAGAATAGCACTAGAGGAACCAATAATATAATCACACTAGGGCGTTGGGGAAAGGACAGGGACGCCTTTATATAATGTGTGGTATTCAGCTTTAAGACCACGCCCCCAAAAAGTCCGGGAGCGTGGTCGCGTTTGAATTTTCGCGGCAAAACCCTAATGACGTTGGCACGCACGTGCCGGGTCATAAAAGGGGCTTTGCCGTGAGCGGCCAGCATCAGACCGGCTGCTCGCGGCGCGGGTCCGGAGGAGAGGTAAGCTATTGTTACAGTACCCCCCCCTCGAGAACCGCCCCCAGGGCGGGGAGGACTCAGCTTGCGAGTACGACGCCTAGTAAAGGAACGAACCAGGCGAGGGGCGTGTACATCTGAGGCATCCACCCACGAGCGTTCCCCAGGGCCGTATCCTTTCCAATCCAATAGATACTGGAGACGACCCTTAGAAATACGAGAGTCCAAAATAGACTTCACTTCGTATTCAGTCTGACCTTCAACGAGTGAGGAAGGAGGCCTAGAGGATCTCCGAGTATAACGGTTACAAACCAAAGGTTTAAGGAGAGAAACATGAAATGAATTGGGTATCTTCATAGTAACTGGCAAATCCAGGCGGTAACAGACTGGATTAACGCCCTTGAGGATTTTAAAAGGACCAATAAAACGTGGAGCGAATTTCATAGAGGGGACTTTTCATCTAATATTGCGCGTACTTAACCACACTCTATCCCCTACCATAAAATTCGGAGCGGTCTTTCGCCGAATGTCCACTTTACATTTCTGAGTTACAGCCTTTTGAGCCAAGATACGTTTGACCCCTATCCAAGTTTCTTTCATATTCTCAATGGTGCAGTCAACCCTTGGCACTGTAGTGGATAAAAAGGAACTCGGAAGAGTAATAGGATCAAAGCCATAATTTATATAAAAGGGACTATGCTGCGTAGAATCATGAACCCAGTTATTATGGGCAAACTCAGCCCACGGAAGTAGTTCTACCCAATCATCTTGGTGATCGGAGGTGAAACAGTGAATGTACTGTTCGAGTGACTGATTCATCCTTTCTGTATTCCCATTAGATTGGGGATGATATGAAGAGGTGAGATTAAGCCTGATACCCAATTGATTACAGAATGCTCTCCAAAATCTGGAAATAAACTGGGGACCTCTGTCTGAAACTATATCCACGGGTATACCGTGTAACCGAACTACCTCTCTTATGAACACCGTGGCCAGTTCGGAGGATGAAGGCAATTTAATTAAAGCGATAAGATGGGTCATTTTCGAGAATCTGTCTATGATAGTAAGAATTGCCTGATGGTTTTTTGATGGAGGTAGGTCCACTATGAAATCCATGGCTATGCTAGACCAGGGTTTATCGGGAATAGGTAAAGGCATAAGGAGACCTAAAGGGCGACTCTTAGAAGACTTATTAGAGGAACAGATGTTACAGTCTAAGACAAATTCTCGGACATCTTTTTTGTAAGAGGGCCACCAAAATTGTTTTTTCAAGTAATGATACCGTTTTATGGATACCGGGATGACCTGCAATCTTAGAGTCGTGTACTAAGGATAGAATTCGTCTTCTGTAGTTTAAAGGTGCGTATAATTTTCCCTGAGGAATAGTGAGGGAGTTGTGATCTTGGTATTTGGATAGGGTTTCAATTATTTCAGAAGAGACTTTAGCATGAACAGTAGCTACTATGCGTGAGGCAGGAATTATCGAGGATAATTGAGTTACGGGAGGTGAAAGGTGTTCGTGTTGGGATAGGGCATCCGCTTTGGTATTCTTAGACCCGGGTCTATATGTCACAATGTAGTTAAAACGTGTTAAAAACAAAGACCAACGAATCTGCCTGTCAGACATTCTTTTCACATCTCCAAAATATGAAAGATTTTTGTGATCTGTAAGAATTGTGATAGGTTCCGGTGACCCCTCTAATAGCTGACGCCATTCCTTGAGTGCGGAAATAATAGCTTCTCTTTCTCCTATGTCATATCTTCGTTCTGTTTCAGTAAATTTTTTAGAGAAATAACCACAGGGATGTAGGGGTTGATCATTCGAAGATCTCTGAGATAATACAGCCCCTACCCCTGTTTCTGAAGCATCTACCTCCAATATAAAGGGACGCGAAGGATTTGGATGACTTAATACCGGGGCTGAAGAAAAGGCTAACTTAAGTTTCTCAAAGGCTGCTTTAGCTTCGGGACTCCATACCGTATGATTCCTATTCTTTTTTGTCATGGTGGTGATAGGAGCGGTAATAGAGGAAAACCCTTTAATAAACTTTCTATAATAATTGGCAAACCCCAGGAAACGTTGGATGGCTTTTAGTCCCACGGGTAGGGGCCAGTTTAAGATTGCTTCTAGTTTTTTAGGTTCCATTTGAAAACCTGTACCTGAAATTATATACCCGAGGAAGTTAACCCTTTCTACATCGAACAAACATTTTTCTAGTTTGCAATAAAGTCAGTTTTTCAATAATCTAGATAAGACCGATCTAACGTGTTCATCCAAATAAACAACAACAAACATTTGCAAATAATCCCTTAATACATCGTTTATAAAATCTTGAAAGACTGCAGGGGCGTTGCATAAGCCGAATGGCATAACCCTATATTGATAATGGCCATAGCGAGTATTGAAAGCAGTCTTCCACTCATGTCCTTTTTTAATTCTAACCAAATTATATGCTCCCCGTAAATCTAGCTTGGTGAATATGGTTGCTCCCTTCAACCTGTCGAAAAGTTCAGTTATAAGCGGGATAGGATAAGCATTTCGTATGGTTATTTTGTTTAATCCCCGATAGTCGATACAAGGTCTCAAATCACCCTCTTTTTTTAGAAACAAAGAAAAAAACGGCTCCGGCCGGGGAAGAAGATTTGGTGATAAAACCCTTTTTAAGATTCTCCGTAATGTACTCCTCAAGCACCTTATTTTTGGTCACTGTGAAGTGATATACGGTACCCCTAGGGGGCATGGTGCCAGGTAATAAGTCAATTGCGCAGTCGTATGAACGGTGAGGCGGTAATTTTTCCGCTTCCTTAGGTTCAAAGACCGCTTTGAGATCCCAATATTGCTTGGGTATCTGGGTAGTTAAAGGCTTCATTGTAGGAACATTAAGTAGACCGATGGGTTTAACTTGAATAATACACTCTTTAAAACAAAAGTCACCCCATTTTATTATCTCCTTTCTTTCCCAGTCTATTAAAGGATTATGCCTGGTGAGCCAAGGGAACCCAAGTATCACGGGAAAGGTGGGGGAAGTTATTTGTTGTAGAGTTATGGTTTCTCTATGTAATGTGCCTACAGTCAGCACCAGGGGAATCGTCTGTTGAGTAATAAGAGGGACTGATAAGGGTCTACCATCTATGGCCTCAACGGCCAAGGGTGTTGATCTTTTCTTGAATGGGAGGTTGTGATACTGACCGAATGTTATATCAACAAAATTCTCAGCTGCCCCAGAATCTATTAACACAGTGGTTGTAACCACCTTTCCTTCCCATTCTAAGGTTATGGGTAGAAGAAGCATTAATTCTTTCTTATCATTAAAGGAGGACATACACATTACACCCAAGGCCTGTCCTCCGTGAGGGCTTAGGTGCTGGAGTTTTCCGGCCTGCTTCGACAATGTAAGCGAGAATGCCCTCTTTTCCCGCAATACATACAAAGTCCCTCCCTTCGTCTATAAGCTCTTTCTGGTGCGTGGATCCTAATTGCATGGGTTTCTTCGGGAGTGACAGCGGTTGCTTCGGACGGAGGGAATGTCAGAGCCAGACGTTCCGGTAAATGTCTAGGTCTATCCCTGGTATTTTGTCTATGTCGGAGGCGTTCGTCTATATGTGCTAAATAGGTGATTAAATCCTCCAACACATTAGGTAAGTCCCTTGTAGCTACCTCGTCTAAAAGTTTATCAGAAAGCCCATTCATAAACACATCCACAAAAGCCTGCTCATTCCATCTAACCTCAGCGGCCAGAGTGCGGAATTCTAAGGCATAGTCAACCAATGAGCGAGACCCCTGTCTCATACGTAATAGGGTTTTTGCGGGGTTGGTTCGTCTTCCAGGGGGATCGAATGTCCTCCTAAAAGCAGCGACAAAGTCTGCATAATTATAGACCAAGGGATTGTCATTTTCCCACAAAGGGTTCGCCCAAGCTAGTGCTTTGTCTACTAACAGGTTTATAATGTAACCAATTTTTGATCTATCTGTGGGATAAGCTCTAGGATGCAGTTCAAAGTTTATGCTGACTTGGTTCAGAAAGCCACGACATCCCTTAGGGTCTCCCC